GGGAGGCCTTCAATGAGATGGATTGACACAGTGGCTGCGATAATGGTATCAAGAATAGCACGGATTGTGGAGCTGGCGCGGGATTGGGCAGTGTTTCGTTCTGCTGTGCATGGGGTCGCTATGAGTTGGAAATGACTCAATGGCACCTAACAACAAGCTGGACCTGAGCCCTGCATCCTGGAAGTGTTGAAGAAACTGAGGCAGGCAGGTATAGGTATGCAGGAGACAGGCTTTAGGCAAACAGGTGAGAAGTAGAACCAGCTGACTATAGGTATTCCTTCTAACACTGACGTTCTATGATTCTTTCAATCACAGTGCAAGAAAGAAAGAAGCAAAACTACAGGTTAAAATTCATTCATTCCTATATTGATTCAGGAAATATTTTTAAATGCTTCCTACAGGCTAGGTACCTTGCTGGGGTCCATAGCAGAGAACAAGACAACTGTGGTCCCTGTTTTCAGAGACTGAATAGTTTGCCTGAGATACAATTTGGAAACATAAATTCCAGTCTGAACCCTTTTATGCCCCTTCTTCTTCTAGAAAACCAAATAAGATTCTGCCTCACTTCATTCCACCCACATTGGGCAAGTGACGGTTGCTAGTACACACCAAGCTCTTTACTGCCTGGTGCTCATGGTACCTTCTTTCAGGAAGGTTGTTTGTGTAGATGGTTCAGATATCAGATATCAGTTCCTCAGAGAGGCCATCCTTTATCCACCTCCACGCCAATAATTCCCTTTCATAACACCCTGTCTAAAATCAAGAAGGGAGTGTGTCAAGGTTGTATTCTTTCCCCATACTTATACAATCTGTATGCTGAGAAAATAATCCGAGAAGCTGGACTATATGAAGAAGAATGTGGCATCAAGATTGGAGGAAGGATCATTAACAACCTGCGATACACTGATGACACAACTTTGCTTGCTGAAAGTGAGGATGACTTGAGGCACTTACTGATGAAGATAGAAGAATACAGTCTGCAGTATGGATTACATCTCAATATGAAGAAAACAAAAATCCTCACAACTGGACCTATAAGCAGCATCACGATAAATGGAGAAAAGATTGAAGTTGTCAAAGACTTCACATTGTTTGGTTCTACAATTGATGCCAATGGAAGCAGCAGTCAGGGCATTAGACAATGTATAGCACTGGGCAAGTTGGCTGCAAGGGCCTCTTTCAAGTGCTGAGGAGCAAGGATGTCTCCTTGAGGACTAAGGTGCACCTTACACAAGCCATGATATTTTCAATTTCCTCATATGCATGTGAGAGGTGATGAATAAATAAGGAAAACTGAAGAAAAATTGATGCTTCTGAGTTGTGGTGCTGGTGAAGAATGCTGAAAGTACCAAGAACTGCTAAAAGAACTAACAGGTCTGTCCTGGAGGAAGTGGAGCAAGCATGCTCCTTGGAGGTGAGAATGGCCAGACTTCGTTTCACCTCTTTTGGTCATGTTGTCAGAAGGGACCATTCCCTGGAGAAGGATGTCATGCTTGGTAAGGTGGAGGGTCCACGAAAGAGGGGAAGGCCCTCAACGAGATGGATTGACACAGCAGCTGCTACAATGGGCTCAAGTATAGCAAGGATTGTGGAGCTGGCTCAGGACTGGGTGGTGTTTTGTTCTGCTGTGCACAGGGTCGCTATGAGTTGAACACAACTCGATGGCACCTAACAACAACAAACACCCTGTCTAGTTTTTCAAAGCAATTATCAAAACTGCAATTGTTTTGTTTATTGCCTTGTTTCTTTATTGTCTATTTCCTCTAAGAAACCATCTCTGTCTTAGTCACTATTATTATATCTATAATATCTATCATGTACCTATACATAGACAGGAACTCAGTAAACATTGGTTGAATTATAAACCAATGTTGATAATACCTTCTATATAAATCTTCTCTGGAGCAATATCACAAACATTCCCAAAGCCACCCTTTCACACACAATGCCTTGCTACCCACAATGCCACTTAGTGACTGCTTTCACACCTTGGCTTCATCTTCACATCTGAGTGTCCAGCAGCCATATCTTCAAAGGACACAGAAGCACACATTTGCTAATCCTAAAGCAGTTTGAATTTAGATAAAAGCACAAAGGTGGCAAGAGGGAGACAATTTGAAAAAATATAATTAGAATAAAATATAGAAGCAACATGTCAGAAAGAAATAGAAATCACTGCTGTTCATAATGCACTCTTTGCTTAACGAATGGCAAATTATAGCAATAATTCTCAACATGTGAAGAAAAACTGCCCCAATATGGGAATCTGGCATGGAACAAAGTCATGGTAAGATATTCTCTCCTTTTTGTTCCTAAATTTGTTACAACTATACACACAGAGATTCACTGGAAATGAAATTTTGTGGGTGAAATGTCCCATTTACATGAGGAGGAGAAGAAATCCAAGATGCATAGCACTCAGCGTCTAGGTGCATCCTCAGAATCATGGTGCAAATGAAGAGTGCACAATATGATACTGCCTTTCAATTTTCTTCTGAGACAGTGAGCTTAGCAACTCTATGAGCAGAGCAGTCACAAAATGCAGACCCATCTACAGAACAGTTAGGGCACAGAACATCTGAGATCACCTTGTACTCTACAGCCTTGGCCTCTCCTGCATGCTTTCTTCCCATTGTAAAGAATTGTAGACAATATTGTATTCTCCACCTATTGCCTTTAGAAAGAACTCTCAAATGGACAACATGGAGTTTTCAGGACACCTACTGTGGCTTGATATCCTGAGGACTGATGCTGGTGGGGAGCAGAGCTGGTCAGTAAAGCAATATTTGAGGCAGAGGGGATTGTAGAGGTGTCAACCAGCTTTTTGGGTGCTATTAAGATTGGATAGAAATCACTCTGCTGAATCCAATATAAGCCTCCTGACCCTACTCTTTGCCCTAACATGAACTCTAATTCTGAAGTTGGTTTTTAGCTGATCCTTTGAGCTACTCCATAGTCTTCTGATGAAATTCAATGCTTGCTTGCAAACAAAAAATTCTAATCTATTCAGTTATGTTCTAAATCACTGTTAAGACTGGGTTCTTTGGATTATTTGGATAATCATTACAACAGTCCTTGAGGCAGGCACTTTTATTATCCTTATCCTCATTTTAGAGATGGAAAAATGAAAATCCAGAGAACTTGCTCAAGGTCAAATGGTCAGTAAGAAGCAAGAGTTAGGATTCAAGGCCAGGTCTATGTCTGATGCAGATCTGTGCTTTTAACCACTATACTATATTCTAAGCTTTGTCCAAGTTGGAGTGTTTTGACATTTTTTCCACAATTACAAGCTATGAAGGGAAAATGGTTCATATCACAATTTGGGGCTATATCTCCACACAACCAAGTCTTGAAAAGGGTACAGAAACAGGAAGAATTTTGAGGGAACCAGAAAAGGGTTGCCATAGTTGTTTGGTCACAAGTCCCCATAAGTAGCAGTGGCAGGAAGAGACCTGCCAAGCTCTAGGTTAGATGGGCAAAGGGACAGGGTGGTGGGTAGGATTTGTGCAGGGCTGTCTTTTTTCTGTGAGGACCAGGAAAATAGCCAAGACTCAAGCTGAGATGATCAGAACACCAAAAACTGTTGTTAGAGCTTTCTCTCAGCAAGACTCCTGGGTTCAATGAGAACATGTACCAACAGAGCTTTGTTGTGAGGCTTTGGGGCAAATTCAGATCTTCTCAGAGGCCTTCAGCATGTGGGGAGAGCCATATTATTCAAAAATAGTAGAGCCAAGGTCTGTTGCATTTTGAACCTGAGAAACTAAGCTTTAACCATCAAAGGAACCTCTCTTCCTCCAAGAAAGATTGTGTGACCTATTCAAAACCCTATTTTCTAGGGCCAGAATATCAGATCCTAGAAGGGAATCTGGATATATGGTATCAGAGATAAGTCAGAATGTCTCAAGGTAAAAATAGAATTGATATACTTTGAACTTTAAATCCACAGGAGAATCATATAGCTATAGGTACCTCTTTATAAGTGAACCCGAGTCAGAAAATATTTTAAACAAGAAACAGGGGTTCTGCTTGTGATTGTTCATGTTGTTGTAAGAGTAGTACATATTCCTCACAGAAATATTAGAAAAGAGATACGCAAAAAGAAAATAAAAATTAGTTACCATCTGGAGTCATCTGCTGTAAACAGTTTTATTCTTATCCTTCTAGACATTTTTCTAAATATTTCCCTTAAAAATGGTATCTAATGTACATAATTTCACAATTTCCTTCTTTAACTTAAAAATGTATTCAAAGCATCTCTTCATCTCATTACATTTTCTTCTATAATATGACTTTTATGGCTGTATAATAATAAACTGTATGAATATTCCCCCACCATTGAACATTAGGTTATTCCAGGTCTTTGCTATAATAAATTCAGCACTGCTGCTAAATCTTTGTACGTGATTATTTTCTTAGACTAAATTCCTAATATTGTAATTATTAGGCCAAAAGCCATGCAATACTTAAAGTTCTTTTTACATGTATTGCTAAACTATCGCTATAAATTTTGTACCAATTTACATTCCAGTCACAGTTGAGGAAGAAGTCCATTTGGGGGCATCTTTGCCAAAAGTGGATTTTTTGTCACTTAAAAAATATTTGAGGGCACCATAAGGAGCTCTGGTAGCATAGTGCCTAAGGCACTTGACTGCTAACCAGAAGGCTGGTGGTTCAAACCCACCAGCCACTCCTTGGAAGGAAGGTTGGGCAATCCTACTTCCATAGTGATACTGCCTGGGAAACCCAAGGAGGGGTCGCTATGAGTCGGGGCTGACTTGATGGCAAATAACAACAACAACAACAACTTATTCTAAGAAGCATCCACAGCCCTACAATCAAGAGCTTCCTTGCCAAGGAGTATATTTGAGTCACCAGATTAGTCCAGTCATTCTGAAACCATTTAATTTCTGTCCTGTGCCTGATGTAGCTTTTCTACCTACCAATAATGTGTTGGGAAAGAAAATAGTAAGGAAAAATTTAAATGAAGAGGGAAAACATACAAATTCTCTTATCTCTGCAGACACTGAAGAGGCCGGTGCTCCAGTCCCCACCTGTCTGGACAATCGTGGTGATGGTAGTCCTCCCACTGGCTGCCCGGACAGGCTGCTTCACCACAGTGTGAGCTGGTGCATGGCTCCTGGAGAGTCAAGGATGTTGATTAACTCAGAAATGAAGAAGGTAGTTCAGAGGATAACCAATAAGCCAAAACAATGAGGAGAAGATAGGAGCCCGGTACTGTTCTTGCTCTTAATTCACAGCACAAGCTGACCCCCTTCATAGCTCTCCTTCCTCCTTTGGCATACCTTCTCCTCGACTTTTTGCCTCAAATCTCTCTTAATGACATCATCATTCCAAATCCTATCAATCAAATTCAATGACAAGACTACTTCCTCAGTGTTTCTCAGAGTCTCAGAATAAGTTACAGTCACAAATTTGGAATCAGGAGGTTTCCATTCAAATCCCAGCTTATCATTTCCTGGGTGTTCAACCCGTGTTCAATTGCTTATTCTCTCTGAACTTCCATTTGTTCAAATGTAAGATGAGAAGGAAAAAAATAAAATTTAAAAAAAAAGCTCTATTTCATAGTTATTATGTCAATTAAAGGATATATAATTAGTTTACTATGCTCAAAGGGTATATAAGACAGTAACCCTGAGTTAGGCTACACCTCAAGGTTTTTGTACCTTTCTTTTCGAAATTGATAAGGAATTGGACTGAGCTTGGCACACTGCAACCTAGGTTACTGAAGTTGAACATGCAGTATTATTTAAGTGAATAATCCAGACTTCAGAATATGTCCTGATGTCAAACTACTTGTGTGATTATCCTTTGGATTGGGTTCCTTGAAGGGAAGGGATATTCCCACTGTCAGTCATCCTGAATTAAGACATGAGAGCTTAGGAGGTAGGTTTCAAGAGTTTCTTCTCTTCCCTGGATCTTTAAAATGGACTGATACTGTGGCTTCAACAATGGACTCAAATGTAGCAACAATTATAAGGATGGCACGGGACCTGGGAGTGTCTCCTTCCAACAGAACAACAGTGTATGTAGGATTGCTAGGAATTGGAAATGACTTAATGGCACCTAATAACAAACAAGTCAGTTTTGCCTGGATTCCAACCACGCAGATGTCTGGTGTGTTTCCCATAGTGAAGGATAAGCTGTACCTGGCTACATGGAAAGGGCAGGTCAAGGGTGAGGTAGAGGAGACCCAGAATGAGTTTGGGTCTATGCCATAGTAGTAATTATTCTGTTTTGTGCTTCCCTTTTGGAAAACTTCATTGTGAGTGCAGCTGGTCTCTAGTGTGCTATGAGGGGCCTGCCTTATACATGAGACATAGTAAACAAGAAGACAGCAGTATTTCTTCCTTTATCAGTTGTTGTTGCAGTAATAATCACCTTGGAATCATGGCTTTAGAACATACCTGAGCACTGGCAAAGCAACACCCTGGTGACAGCTTAGAAATAGCTTGGGAGCCCTTTGAGAACCTTTAATTTCTGAAAATAAAGCCAATGGGATTTCACGGTATCCCAACATGGGTTGTATTGTTCTTGTTATTAAGACCACATCTTTTTCATTCCACCAATATAACCCAAATCCATACCCTACCAAATATGACAGCTCATTATCTTGTTAAAACACAAATTCCTAAGCTTTATCCAGAATAACTGCACAGGTCTCCAGGGATGATGCACAGAAATCTGTATTTATAACACAAGTCATTCTTATGAAACCATCCTAATACCAGTGGATTTGGAAACCACTGATGATGATTACCATCATTAGCTTCTGAGTGTCCCATCAGCTAGGTGGGAATGCCAAAAGAACAGAGATAGCAAGGAAAACAGAAAGAGTAGATTGGAAGGGTACAGGATGCTTGGAACATAACTGGTTTAAAGAGCAAACAAGACACAGAAATAGCCGGAAATGTTAGACCAGCCTTTAGAAGAAAAGCAAGGTTTGGGAGTCACCTGTCTAGAATATGGGGTCACCTGTGAAGAGCTATGAAGCATTCCTAGTCCTTTTATCCACTATACATTAGGACAATGCTTAGCATCTAATGACATTTCCAAGGGCCCCCTAAAGTGTATGAAACTGGGAAAAAAGTATTTTATATTATACAAAATATAAAAACTGCAAAATAGAAATTAATCAATGTGCAATTAAATGTTTAGAAAAATCTAGCAGCATATCAGTCTCATTAACTGTCTAGATTAGAGTCATCATTTATTACATTTGAAAACAATTTGTAGGTTAGCTCTCTTGTTTTGTAAAACTTCCCATGCTGAGATGCAGCAGCCAATCAGAAATTAAATTACTCATAGTGAAGTAATTCCAAAATCAAAATTATGAAAATCTTTTAGCTTATTGTCCAGCAAAAAAAAAAAATATATATATATATATATATATGTCTAGGATATACATTATGGGTGCATTCTAATATGTTTGTGGGATAGGGTCAATGAAGGTTTAAAATTGGCCCTGAAGAAATCAAGTGCTTTTATATGTATCTAATTGCCTCTACTGCAATGTGAGCTTCTTCAGGTCAGGAGGCACATTCTGTTCCTCCCTACATCTCCAGTATCCAACACACTACCTGAAAACCTAGTGGGTGCATGACAAATATTTGTTAAATTAGATCAAACTGAATTCATGTGTCTCTTTGTTCTATTTGAGTCTCCCTCAAACCCAGCTTTAAATTATGTGACCTTAATTGTGCCTCATTCTCCAGTAAAGGCACAAATCTCAAGTGTGAACTGATGAAATAAAAGCAAAGGGTAACAGCCTAAAAGCTTTCTGCATCTCTCCACACAATCCAAGGCACTTACCTCTCAATGTCATGCCCACAATTTAGGGCTTCCATCATTATACTAAGAGCTTCTAATCATCTCTGATTTCAGTGGAAGGATTTCTTAAGGCTTGATATATATAATCATATGGTTATATTTTCCCCTGATATAAATCATTTACAGCTTGCAGTCCTAGAGTAGAATACTTTCCTTCTATCTCAGCATTATGTAGGCAAAACGTTTTATTACAGCAGACTTCTATCTATTCCAAAACCAATAACTTTTCCTCAGTGAGAAAAAAAAGTTGGATTTTCTGTATATATCTCATTTTGAACTCAAGGAGAAGCATATTACAGTTTCTTTCCATAATACCCTGGATGTTTGGTGATTTTATATTAAAATATTTGAATTGACATGCACTGGCTAAAACATTTCAGTTGAAGATTATTGCTCACTCCAATAGAGCCTGGTGGAACCACTGAGACTATGGCCCTTCAGGTCTGGAATTGAACCCACACTTGTGGTTTCCAGCCAAACAAAAGACAGGCATATGAGTTGAACATTTACCTCAAGTAGACACACTCTTT